GTACAGGGAATTTAAAAAAAAAAAAAAAAAGAGAAATCAAAATCTATATAAATTTAGAAAGACATAAAAAACACACAGAAATCTTCAGCAAGAGAGAATGTCTTTCAGAGTTACTGGCAATTAAGTATCCAGTGAAGATTCCTACTGAAGCTAGTAAAAGAGATCAATTGTCAGTATCATTCTTCCTCAGTGATCATGCCATTACAGGAGATTAGAATTTAACACAGTTTATATGCAAGCGGCTATCCAGTAGGCTAACCTTAGAAAGATTGTCTTTCATAGCTGAATGTCTTCTATCTCTAGAACATCAAAATTCAAATTAGTGGCATTCATTAATTTAAAAAAAAAATTGATCACATCAAGATATTTCATGCCTTCAGCCTTCAAACTATTCATCCTCATCTAGAAACTAATTAAAAAAAAAACCCCTGTAGGAAGCTGAAAGGAAACATTATTTGTACTTTCATCAGCAAGAGCCCATATTGCAGGAAATCATGATCTATTTTAACAGTTTTTCATGAAAACATATAGTCTTTTTAAGTCATGTGTGCATAAGTGCTCCAGAACACTGGTTTACAGCTTATTATGCTAAATGCAAGGCTCACAAGACTGCCTGCAACTAAATTCTGGGGTCACATAGAGCAGTCTGCCCAGAACCATGCCCCAATGGCAGTTTCAGTCAATAACTTTGCCAAACATGAATAAAACTTCAGCTGAAGTTTTCAATCTCAGTTTTCCATTTCTACTTATTTTTAGAAAACATTCAACTATTTCTAAGAATTAATTTTTGGCAAAAATTCTCGTTCACAAAAACTGCTAGAATTTTCAAACAAAAGTTTTGTAGCACCTCGAAGCTTTGAAGAGCAGACGTTATTTCAGTGGGTAAATGTTGTTTCAAAGCGTAAACACACAAGTATGTTTACACACCAATCTGTAAATTGGATTTTGTAAATCTGAAAAAGTTAATTTGAGATCCCTTAGACTTTAACAGTTAAATTCTTTAACATTCCATATGCACTGGGTATGCAGTGTCCTATTGAGAAGACTGAAGATTTTGATATGTTCTGATTATCAACCACACAGAGAAAGATGTAAGATTCACCTGCATGTATGAGGATTCATATGCATAACCGAAATAGGAGGAACTGATTCTTTGTAGTAATTTCTCTTTGGCACAGCTTACCCCTTACTTGCCTGCTTTCTTGTACTTTCACCCTCTTTTAAAGCAGCTGGTTCTGGGCAGTGCCAGTTCATTAGGATAAAAGACCAGGTTATTATTAGTCATAATCAACACTTCCCACAGTTGAACTCATTTACTAAGTTTGTCCAGATCACACAGTTTATAGGTCAGGGGGACATCTACTCCAAACTTCTGCTCAAAGTAGGCTCAGCCATGAGGTCAGAACAGGTTGCTCAGGGCTTCAGCCCAACAGGTCTTGAAAGCCTCCAAAGATGGAGACTGCACACCCTCTCTAGGGAACTTGTTTGGTTATATTCATGATGAAAAGGCTTTGGTTTTAATCAGCATTGTTGTTGGTGTGGTATCTAAAATAAGGACTTGGAAATGTTCTTTACCATCCACAGAACACAAAAGACTAGCTTACTGAACTAGACATGTGTGCTTGCTTTGGAAAGGCAAGTACTGTTTCTGCATTTTATCCTAAACTACAGTTCCCTATAACATTTTACCCTGCCCTGCCCTCCTCTGAATTCAGCAAGGTTATCGTATCTGAACCTTCTAAAAAGCTACAAACAGCTAACTGGAGGAATATTTTGAAGTAGAAGAATATTTGTAAAACCTTCTCCACAGAGACAGCAGTGGAACTATGAGATCTGGCTGACACACACATGCAATGTGTTGGATCAAGGAAATTTCTGCAAAGTTTAATTCTTGCTATGACTGGACTCAAATAGGCCCCTGGGCTGAATTGTCCACTGCATAGGCAATTCTCCTTCCTCTACATATCCTCCATGGCACACTTCCTCACTAAACTGCTAATCACCCAGATAACAAAGATCTTCAAGTACTATTGGATCCAACATGAATAAGAAATGTTACTGATTCTCTGGAAAAAAAAGAAGAGAAATGAAACAAACAAAAAAACACACCACTCTCAAAAAAACAACAAACCCTAGCATACAACACAACTCCCAAGGATCTTCAGTAGGAAGTAAAATAACTATGAAGCAATCATTCCCAGTAGTACAATTGTTGAAGATACAGACACTTCCACTACATGTAACTAGAAATCCTTGAAAGGTATCAGTTCTGCCTACAATGGGCTTGAGGATTTAAATAATTTAAGAAACTACGAGAGGCACAATCACTATGGAACAACAACTGAAACCTGAGACACTTGTCAGAACAGACAATTTTTCCCTGTCTGGAAGTAGCTATGGGACTGGCCACATGTTCCACCATTTCAAAGATAGAAAGACAGATGAAAAGAAGGAACGAACATCTACATTTTTCTTTACCTCTCAGCATTGATGTTAATTTCCAAGCCCAGTGACTAGTTCAGAGTTCTCCTGAAACAGTGTAACTCTGAACCTGTCAGAAATAAAGGAAGGGAATACTTCTTGTGACTCTAGGGTACAGAGTACAGTCTCTGATGACTTGGAGATTTGGTCATTCTTCCCTGCATGTAACTTCACACACCATCCAAAATCTGTGTATCGGGGTAGCCAAGAGAACAGGAAGAATAAAGACCGGGGCGGGGGGTGGGGGGGGGACGGGACCACAGAATCAGAGAATCATTAAGGTTGGAAAAGACCTCCAAGATCATCAAATCCAACCATCAATGCAACACCACCACACCCACTAAACCACATCCCTAAACCAGTTTCTGTCAACCCCGAATTGAGAAGCTCTGCTTGCTAATCCAAACAGACAAACTGTATATTGCCTCTATGGCACTGGGATAGTACTGGCCTGCAAAAGTCATGCTGTAGCTCCTGTAGTTCTAATGAGAAAACCGTATGCTAAAATAACATCTCATCAGTGCACAGCCTCTCTTACTGATGAGTGTAGTCTACACAATCATCTACTGAAAATCCCTACAAATGTTTTAAATGTCTCAATGAAGTCCAAGTCACTACTGTTGCTGCCAAATACATCCTTCAGGACATACTGGAAAGAAATTTTTGAGTCTGTTCTTGAGTCTGTATGCACAACTAACATAAATAATAAAAAGTATCAGCCCTTCTTATTTGTCCTTAAGCAGAGAGTTACCGAGCCAAAATTCCTTTCTGGGATAAGATTAATGTGCCACATGCTAACAATCAAAATTTGCATCACTGCTGATAAATAAAACAGCTATAGCCTGAAAAGTGGCACAGTATCTCCCTTACTCTAAATTGTTTTTGTCCATAGCTTAGCCCATTCTCTACCCATTGTTAGCTTATCTACTCATCCAATAATTATTATGTGGACTATAATTGTCAGTAATACAAAACCTCTCTCTTATCCAACTGTTTAATTATGTTTTTTCCAAGAATCTCCTTTTATCAATGAAGACGTCTCACTAAATTTACCCAGTCTTGGGTAAGAACAGTCAGTTGTATTCTTTTTGATCAACTGTGTCTTCCCTGTATTTATTGTAACATTTATAAACTCCCACTGTAATACCAGTTACAGACTTAGAAAAAATAAGTATGCCTAACAAAAGAGGAAGAGTTAATAAAATTTTAAAAGCTGACAATTTTTCACATAAAAATTATCTGTGCAGAAATTTAATTTAAAAAAATTCTTCCTAGTATTTATCATAAATTGAGAGCAAAAAGTTAGCATATTGCCGCCATCTCCAGTTGTGCTGTATACCTACTCAATTTTGACAAATACCTGAAAAATGTTTTAAATACATAGAAAAAAGTATAAAACCATGCAGATGTTAATAACTCTTCAAGACTTTGACTGTGAGAATTCCGTTAAAATGAATGCTGTTTACTTTGAGACAAACAAAGCTATCTGATCCTCCAAACATGAATGCCCATCTAGTTATTCTAGCAAAATTGTTCATCCTAGTATAAGAATGGATCAACTTACTGATCTACAAATAAAAAGGTATGTAACATTGCCACTGTTTTTACAACCTGAATTTTGAGTCGGTTCATTTTACATTAAAAATTATTTCAATTATTTCATTATTTTGTTCATGTATGAATGACTATTGGATACCATTTTCTTTGTATTTCTTTTGGTTTGTATTTGAAACATGCTTTATTGTTTTAGAGTTTACAAACAATAGCCTCTATTTAATACTCTCTTCCCATAAAAATTGGATTCATATCTGGCACATAACACAGTGGCAGACTGCTGAAGGGTTGTAATCTAAATCTTAAAACCAAAAACTTTGTATTAAAAAATCTCTGCCAAAGCAGAGGTATCTTAATAAGGATAATATTTTTTCCAATACAATGAAAAAACAAGATTTACAAGATGCTTTTGTATACAATTGCAGTCACAGTCATTACGCTCCACATAACATTAAAGAAAAAGGTATCAAAGAAAAAGGTATCAAAATAGTTCTATGTGAATGAAGCTGCAAAAAACAAGGAGAAGTTACGTGAGTTATTAAGTCTTACCTGACCAGTGTCCAGTGGTGGTACCTGATCTGTCAGTACATGTCTCGCTTACAGGCCTAAATACAGTCTCCCAGCCACCGGTAGCATAGCGCCAATTCTGAGACTCTAAAATGAGTGTTCGCTGAGTGCCATAAGCGATCATGAAGCAGTAGACTACATGATGAAGTTGACAACCATAGCCACAGCCTTTGTTGATATTACACACAAGTTTCTTAGCTTTGCTGCAATCCTTCGGGTTCTGTAAGGATGGATGAAAAAGTGAAGCTGAAGAGAAGATACACACAAAGGCATACTTTTTTCTGAACAACTGACAAATGTCATAAATCACACAAGTCATCCTGCTATACTACATCTCATATTAAAATGGATGAGTAAGCTTCAGCTCCATGAAAATTTTATGTGAATTCTTCACTGTGAACATGAACAGTTACTGAACATACTTCACTATCCTAATGTAAAATAGAATACCTTGAAGATTTTAAATTACTCTCTCATTTGTAAATCTGTCAGAATGAGCTAACATGGGACTCAGAGGTCACATTTCATCAACATGATTCTCAGTTTTGGAATGCTTTTTCCTTTGGCATTTTTCCAAGTTTGTTAGTTCTCTTTCAATGACCATGCATGTTATCCAACAAAAGAAAATTTCCACCTGTCTACAGTGCTTATTAATGGACTGTTTCCCAGACTAACTGACCACATACCAAATACAGAATATAAAACACTGAGCAGACTGATAAAACACAGTATTTTAATCCGCATGCACTCTCAATAAAATAATATACTATACTTCCACAATCCAAAAAAAAACCAACAAAGGAGGCAAATGTCTACATGATGTGAATGCTATGTTTGAAAGTACAAACTAAAAAATATTTTTAGTTATGTGGACAACATAATCTACAGAATTTTTTCTTTCTGTAAAATATAGTACTTTGCTGTACACATTCATACTTGCATGTCCCTAGACATACTTCTGCATTCCAAAAAGTTTTTTTTTTTTTAAATCTCTAGGATGGAAAGTTAGTTTTCAGTTACGCTGCGAGAATACTGATATTTGAGGGTCAATATAAATTCTGTTCCTCTCACATCTAAACAACTTTAAATAAAATTTTCTGTAAATTTGCAACAAATCAGGTCTTTCCAAAAAGCAACAATCACCATCTGGAGAACTGAGATCTCTCCATCAAGTGATCTTAAAGATAATCTGAATATGCTGTCCTAAAATACTTTATAAAAATTTTAATTTGTGCATTCAGTTGTGTAAAGGAGGGAAGAATAGTTCAGATCTGGAAAAAAAAGGAACAAACATCTGATTCAAAGTCTAACTAGCTATGAAAAACAATAAGTTAAATAAAATTTCCATTCCAAATTTTTGCTCCTCAGTCCCGTACTCTCGCTATCACAGATCTAATGGATGACTTGAGACTAAACCTAATAGGTATCTTTGAGACTATAACAAATCTTTTGTCTTTTAGGAGAGAAAGAGGGGTTTTCTAGTATTGTGTGCAAGTCCACAAAGAAAGAATTCCATGAAAAAAAATAGCTCCTCCCTAAATCTACAGACATATTTACACCATGCAATGAAGTGCAATGATAGCAGCTGCAAGTAGAATCATTTTCTGCTGTTAACCTTTACTGTGTAGAAAACTTAAGCTCAAAAAACAAAGAAAATAGTGTATAAAGTTGTGTTGCTATTTTAACTGAAATAATAATAAAAAAAAGAAGCCGCTTTCTGTCATTTAGAGAGTTGTCAAATGCAGACATTACTGTTCAGTTGTAGAAGTTGAAAATTTGTATTTCGTGTTTATCTGCTTTACTTATATTTTTGAAAGATGTGTCTAGATGTTTTAACTGCTACTTAACAATAATAATTCATGCTTTATACAGAGTACCTCAGAAGAGTTTTAATACCATTGTATAACGTACTATAACTAGATTGTAAAAAGAACTATTATGGCCAAAAGTAAACCCTTAGCAAAATGTATTTATCAGAAAGTAGGACATACGAGTGTGTCACAAGATATCAATTGACTTAGACAGAATTTTATTTATTTTTAAAATGAATTAATGATTTTGCAATATACTTTTGTTGAGACATTTAAAAAATCTTGATTTTAAAGAAAGCATGCAAAAAGAAACAATAGATACATTAGAGATGTCAACAGGGCCATAAAGCACGTTATTAAGTCTGTCTTCCCATTTTTTCCCACATAGCAAAAATTCTTATTGAATCTAACTTTTTCGTAACTACTTTGAAAGGGATAATCTCTGAGAATTGTTAGAAAATACCAATAGATAATGTTTTCTACACTTTCTGTTACCTTCAAATGCCTGTGTCCTCTTGAAAATGAAAGCATTTAATTGATGACATATTTGAAGTTGTGTAAACTTTGATAAGGTTGCCCTTCTAAGCTTCTTGCATGCAAATGCAAGTTTCATATAATAGCTTATTAACAATATCATGGAAATCGAATAGGAATCACATAAAGAAACGTAATTTGGTACCGTGAGGGCTTACCAATGTTAATATAATGCACTTACTTGGGTTTTAACATTTCTTGGCAACTTAACTGGAAAGTATATATATTAACAGGCTGCCCAGGGAAGTGGTCGAGTCACCATCCCTGGAGGCATTTAACAGACGTGTCAATGTGGTTCTTAGGGACATGGTTTAGTAGCGGATTTGGCAGTGCTAGGTTAATGGTTGGACTTGATAATCTTAAAGGTCTTTTCCAACCTAAACAATTCTATGATTCTAATACTAGTTTGTGACTTGAACAGAAAGCTAGTTCAGCTGATTTCTTTATGACTGTGGTTTTTTCAAATTGCTATATTCAAATTTTAAGACAAGGCAGTATTTGAGGTTAAATTATTTATTGATAACTTAAAAGAAAAAAAAAAGGAAGTAGAGATACTTAGATATATTGCAGTTTTAACTGGGATTTCCTGAAAAAGGTGTAATTAATAATCATCGAGAAAGAAGAAAAAATACAATCACATTGCATGCATCAGAATAGCTTGTGTGCTTATAAGCCAAAACTGCCAATCAAAGCAACCCATAAAAGTATTGAGTTGATAAAGGATAACAACAGTCAATTTCAAATTCAGTGAAGACTGACAGAAGATTTTTCCTCCTGGCATAAAGTCACAGAAAAGGATTATAAATCTCTGATTTGAGTGAGCAGTGCACTCTGTTCTCATCCCTAACTACACTGCTCATCACAGACTCTTGTATCCAATTGAGTTGTCTACATAATCAAGAGAGGGATGGATGTGACCTCCAGGATTGTCAAGCCATGTAACGTAACAGTCATACAACTGCATTAAAAAACAAACAAACAAAACCCACATAAACACCCCAACAAACAAACCCAACCAACGAACCACACAAAACATACTTCAATATGTAGAAGATTAGATTATCAATCCATGCCAGAGTTCACACCTTTTTTTTTTCTGAAAATTACTTACATGAACACTGCAACTGAAAATAGTAACAAATTTTCAGAACTGTAAAATGGTTAAAATTATGTATTTCTGTGGAAGACAAGGTTACATGTCACCTAAAATAAAAGTGGATTTTTGTAACTGGCAAAACTGATTTGGTGGTCTTTCATCACCAATAACATAGGCATACACTGTTGCTCTCACAAAATTCAGTGTTTCCAACTAAACTGATACAGTTAAACTCTCACCCAAATAAAGGCAGTATCGCATTACTTCCTACTTGGAAGCACTGGCAGATTCCAGCTCCATCTTCCCTTAAGAAGTTTTACAGTCCTTTAGGCTGCAAATGACCTCTCCTGCCTAGGTTACAAGGAAAGTAGTATACCCAGGTTTTCTCTGCAAGAAACATAATTCCCTAATTCTTCCGTAGTACGTGACAACCTTTGTGATGAGGTACGCAGGCCATATGAGTGTAGCAGAGTTACAGAAGTCTGGCTGACAACTCCTTTACTAATGGAGCTGGGAAATCACGTATTGCATTGCAGACCTACAAAACTGCATTAGTAATGAGAGAAATAGTAGTGTTTAGTCTTGGATTTAATTAACATCCATTGGTTTGCCTGTTTGAAGGAATATCCTTGAATGGCTTCTTCTGAATAACTGACTTGGGTAGCTACTTTATCTTCATAAGACATTTAAAATTGTTTTCCTGCATCCATTTAAAAACTATTTTAACTGAGACATACCAAACAGGAACCACTAGCCTTTACATAAAATTATTTAGAAGTTATTTTTAGTACCTATGGTTCACCAAAGGAATGCTGCCACTATAAATCTTTACAAGACGACTAATGAGACTGAAGCAGATTCTGTGCTATTATGACTGACTGCCCCAAATATGTAAGCCTTGTTAAATTCAACCTTAAACTTAATTCGGCAAAAGCAGCACAGTACGAGTCTTGTATTGAAGTATGTCTTCTTTGGAAGAGACTAGACTGTCATTCCCTACTCAAGTTCTCCAGGGTACTCAAGATTTTGTAGACCTCTATGTATCACATCCCCTTCTCAGTTCTCTTAGGAGACTGAAATCTTCATCTATTCTAGTCTTTACTCTCAGAGATACCAGGCTCATGTATTTGATCATTCACATTACTTTCCCCTTCAAGTTTTCTGGTTTTATTATATCCTTTCTGACACTAAGGGACTAGAACTGCAGAGTCAATCCTTGATGCAGATGCATTGTTTAAATACTGTTGAGCACTGAAATGATACTTTCACAGAATTATCTCTGGTAACTCCAAGATCTTGTTACTCAATGGTATTAGTCAACTGCAAATGTGTATGTGTGTTAAAGACTGTCTTCCCCCATGTACCTAACTCAAAATTCAGTGCAGATGACTGTAATCTACAATTTCAATATCCAGTCAAAGATAACATGACTGGAGTATGAGCTAATAGCATAAAATTCTTCTGCAACTGTTAGTCTCCAGCTGTTTAGCACAAAGTTTGCAGAATATTGATGGTGTTAAAGCCAGATATTTTAAATAAATTGTTTAAAATGCAACAATTTTTTTGTCTTAATTTTCTCTCTCTAATTAAAACAAAAACAACAAAAAAAGAGACTGAAATTCTGCAAGTATTAAAATAAATCAGTATTGTCTTGTAAAAAACCTGAAAACCTGGAAAAAGTTTTGAGGGGCAATTATAGCTATAGTGGGAAATACTTATTACTGAGTGGGTATTTATTTTTCCCTTAAACAAACAGCAATATTTTAAATGGAACCATCA